TCCTCTCCAGAGCACAAAGCCTGGGTAAAATAATATGGAGGATAGGCTGTTACCCAAGCAGCAAACTCCCCCTCTCCACATCACTGAAATAGTATTGGCAAGAGCCAATACAACTGGTTCCAGCGTCGTTGCAGGAGTTGCCAGAATGGCACGAACTGCTTCCAGGACTCCAGCTCTGCATTTTGCCTCGAGATTTACTCCTGAAGCTTTTTCTATCAGTGGATATAGCCACAAAGCAGTGGAGGTTTGACATTGGAGTTTTCCTTCTCCTATATGGGCTGCATTATGCCAGATATTAATTTTGAAAATACTATTGATTTTGATTTTATAATTATTATGTTCATTGTTTTAAATTGTTGTACAATATGTTTAATGTGTAAACCACCCAGAGTGGCCTTGGCAGCCAGATGGGTGGTATAAAAGCCAATAAATAAATTTACAATTGCTAATTACTGTATGTAAATGGGGTAGCATCTAGTTCAGCCTTCAGTACATACAAACGTGTTGTAAACATGTTCTACTAGTGCTGATTCCCCCAGAGATCTGTAAATTATGGGGGGAAATGATGCTGAACCTATTCTATTGATTCTATTTATTTCAGGGTCAGGTTTCATGGGCTTCAATCAATTTCAAACTCAAGGACTACGTCCATGAATCCTGTGGTTTTATTCATGAAAGGTTAGCAGCAGCAGTAGTAATAGTGATGATGATGATGGCATGTCATCAAGTCAATTCTGACTTATGGTAAGTCTTTTCACGATTTTCCAGGTAGACAATGCTCAGAAGTGGTTTACCGTTTCCTTCTTCTGGGGGGGGCACCCTGGGACCGAGCAGCTTGCCCAAGGCCACACAGGTTGGCTTTACTCACAGGAGGCACAGTGGGGAATCAAACACCCAATCTTTGGCTCCACAGCCAGACAATTAAATCACTGAGCTATCCAGCTAGCGCCATGAAAGGTTACACTGAGATTTTTTTTTTAATTTCATAGGTGCCACAATAAATTTGTTCTTGTTTTGTTCGCTGTTGCTGGAAGAGATGAATACAAATACGTTTCCAGAAACTGATGAAGCAAGACGTTTCACTGGATTTTTTTTTTTGAGTGCTTAAAATAAAATAAATGGGGTGGAGAGTTGCAGCTTGAAGTTCATCCCCATTTGTAGATTTTAATTGCATACCACTTTGTTATTTTACTTTTCAAATACAGAATGTAAATCTGATTTCCCAAAGTTGGAGCAAAGCTAATCCCACTGCCTGAGTTCTCCGTAACTTGGATATAAAAGTTGGACAAAAAAAGCATTGACCTTGAAATTTTGGAGGCCAGAATGAAAGCTCCAGATCATAACAGGTGAATCAAAGTGGGAGAAAGAGGAATTAATGAGACTTCTACCCCATTCTGTTCAAATGAAAGTGTTTTGATTTTGTGAAGTTTTTACAGACTAAACCCTTGGTTCTTCCACAAAAAATCCCTGAATGAGTCCCACATGGATGTTTGTTGGGCTTTAATATCTTTGGAGTGATAATGAGCAGATCTGAACAGCTTTTGCTGTCCAAAAGCAAAGATTTAGCATTTCCAATATATCTCAAGAGCTTAACAACAATCTACAACTGCAAGGTGAAAAAAAAGCCAACACTATTTTGTTTTAGGAGACAGAGTTTGGCACTCTGGTTCAGAGTCTTAATATGAAAAAGAATTAGGTTTAAAAAAAAAAGGTTTTAAGGAGAATAATACACTTTGACTCCTGGTGCAGCCTTATACCCAGTCAGAATCATATGCAAATAAAAGATTAAAGGGGAAATGATATATATTGCACATCCGTATCTTCAGGCTTTGGTAATTCCCTGAAACATGAAATGCCTTGTAAAATGGACAGTAAACTGCCAAAAAAGAGAGTGTCTGACAAGCATTAAAACTGTCATTTCTTTGAGAGAGCAGTCCTAAGGCAAACTCATATGGAAGGAAATCTGACTGAAAGAAATAGATTTAAAGACCCACCATTTACCAGATGCTGTTGAAAAAATATTGCATAGCTTAAAAAAGCAAAGAAAAGGTATTTACCTAGCATTTAAAAAGAGACTGATAAAATATAATCAGCACATGACAGAATATTCAGGTAAGTACACTTTATACTGCAAACAAGCTGAGTGCAAAGAAGGGAAGTCACAGAAATGGGATTCGTCTGTCCTCCTCCTTTGTTGCCCTCTCTCAGCCCTGAAATGCTTTTTTGAAAGGCTCTTGGGAGCTTTCTGGAAAGAGGTGGGGGCCATAGGTAACTAACGTGAGCCAAATACACCTCACCCAAGAGGAATTATGTACATGTAAGATGGCTGCCAGCCCAATTGTAGGGAATTCCTTGTTGTCTTAGCATGTGCCTCTGCATCCATTCCACATTATTTAGGAGGACCTTGATCCTCTTGAGAGGATTTCAGTTTAACGTGCAAGTGAAATGAAGGACCAAAATGTCCCTCTTCTGCGAACTTCCAAGAACGCATGTCCAAACTCTTTATCTGCATGTTAGGCCATAAATAAAATAGCAGTGTTAAACTAGTAACTTCTGGACTAAAGAACTGTAAACAAGAGTCTTAGAGCATGGTTCAGAGAGCATTTCATCCCAGTTCATTGACTTGCATACACATCACTATGGTTGTTAAGTTCATCTGCACTAGGATTATGGAGTTCTGTCAAGAGAAGCCAATAAAATGAAGGCAGTGCATTGAGCTGTGGGATGCAATGATCCAGAACTAGTAGGGCTAAATGGATATCATGTGCTCTTTATTTTCAGGGATCTCTTATTTTAGAAGTTCATTATCTCACCTCTGCTGCACACAGCAGATATTGTACTTAGGGATGGGTAGCAAATTGTGCATGTGCATAAGAATTTTACTTGATTCTATTTTTATATTTAGGACTTCTCTCTGTCTCTCTTTCTCTCTCTCTCTCTCTTTTTTTGCCCAATAAAAATTAACTACAGACAAACAAGGCTACCCTCCAAGAAATTTATGAAAGCATAGTCATTTCTTCTCCAAGGTTGCAAAATAAAAACAAAAAAGAAGAGGGGATATTTCTATACCTATTCCATAAATTACCTGTTACGGGTAATTCTGTAGGTTCCTCTGACAAGAAGTTGTATGATGGTAAACATTCCCTTGTGAAAACAATGTCATCAAGGGCTATGCAAACTCTTTATCTGCATGTTAGGCCATAAATAAAATAGCAGTGTTAAACTAGTAACTTCTGGACTAAAGAACTGTAAACAAGAGTCTTAGAGCATGGTTCAGAGAGCATTTCATCCCAGTTCATTGACTTGCATACACATCACTATGGTTGTTAAGTTCATCTGCACAAGGATGATGGAGTTCTGTCAAGAAAGAGAAGCCAATAAAATGAAGGCAGTGCATTGAGCTGTGGGATGCAATGATCCAGAACTAGTAGGGCTAAATGGATATCATGTGCTCTTTATTTTCAGGGATCTCTTATTTTAGAAGTTCATTATCTCACCTCTGCTGCACACAGCAGATATTGTACTTAGGGATGGGTAGCAAATTGTGCATGTGCATAAGAATTTTACTTGATTCTATTTTTATATTTAGGACTTCTCTCTGTCTCTCTGTCTCTCTTTTTTTGCCCAATAAAAATTAACTACAGACAAACAAGGCTACCCTCCAAGAAATTTATGAAAGCATAGTCATTTCTTCTCCAAGGTTGCAAAATAAAAACAAAAAAGAAGAGGGGATATTTCTATACCTATTCCATAAATTACCTGTTACGGGTAATTCTGTAGGTTCCTCTGACAAGAAGTTGTATGATGGTAAACATTCCCTTGTGAAAACAATGTCATCAAGGGCTATGGACCTCCTATAAGCATTCCCAACATGACCTTCAAAGATGACCCGGAAATCCTCATCTGCTTCCAGGGGCAATACTTTTCTTTTCCAGAAATTCCCTTGATTCCCAGAGAGGGTAAACAGCACTTTGCGGGAAGTTGATACTGTTTCTTGGTAGACAGTTAGTGATCCAATATTCTCTCCATACATGTGGTAATAAAATATTATCTGAAAATAAAAGAAGAAACATTAAATACAGATATATGGTTACATAGAGCTGTCAGGGTAGTATGGTACAGAAAGTGCTGGACTATGATTTAGAAGACCTGGGTTCAAATCCCCACTCAATTACAGAATCTCACGGGGGATGGCACTAGTAAATCACTCCTTAAATATTTTATATACAGTACCTTTAAAACCATATTAGGATCACTATTAAGTTGAAGGTGACTTGGTGGCATATAACAATAACAAGGGTTACATTGGATTCCCTGCTTAGTGAAGCAAATAGAAATCTCTAGTAATGCAAACTTGTTTCGTGAGAGGAGAATTTCAATAAATAAAATCCAACTTTTCTTCTGAAAATCCACAGTATCTATTCAAACATTCAAGTCTTGAGGACATTTAATCAAAATTATATTTTGATTAAATGTCCTCAAGACTTTAGGCAAGATTGATAGAATCTATAAAGCTAATCAAAAGAGAATTGTCCTAGAATTAAACAAAAAACAGTTTAGCACAAACAAAACATGGCCGTCAGAGTTAATTAGCCAACAAAAACTAACAGAAGTGTTGGCCAAACCTTTGCCTTAGTTTCCATGACTTGGAAGCAGCTGCTCACTGCTCATTATTATGGTAACATTGTGCTTCTAATTTAATGTGGGAGGCCTTCTGCTGTGTAACCAGGAGTGGTCTCTGCAGGGGTCATCACACCCTGAAATAGTGGGGTGAAGCACCACCTGTTCAAGTCAGCTGTTGGCAATGCAAACTAATTCTTTAACTACTTTGATAGTTACAGGGGTGTGGCCTCATGAAATGTGAAGAAGCTCTATCACACAGTTCAAACACTGGCTTATGCTGTGCCTCGTGGTCTGCTGTGGGTGTCGAGGCAAGAGCAAACAGTAAGGGGGGCGATAATATGTTTTACATGCATAGAAGCATCTTGTAGGATTGGGGAGGGAGATGTTTTGTTCAAAGTAACTCAAGTGATGAGTTTGATTACTTTTGAGAAACCGAGAAACAAGTAGTTACTTTTGTGAAACACATAGCCTTTAAAGTAGATACAACATTTAAACTTCTTTTAAAAAAATCTAAGTTTTGCAATTTGTCCTAAAGCCCCTTGCATGAAGCGACTTTCATCTGGCATCTAAAAGCGACAGAGTGAGCCACCTGGGAGACAGACTTTCATAACGTCAATGTCTTACAAAAAAGTGATATCTTTCATACTTAAAAACAAGCATGGGCGGAAGATACTGTACATAGCAGATTTGTACAATAATAGCACTGACAAGGGATTTTCAGAGGTGCTGCTGTGTTAATCTGTTTTAGCGACAACGGGGGGGGACCCACCAGTATTGTGACAGATATGAGAGAAATATATTTGCTTCAGTGTGAGCTTTTGTGTATCGCAATCCATCCTCAGACACAAAGCCATAAAAGTTTTCCCTTCCAAATTAAGCTTCAGTAGTTTTGCTTCATTATCCCAAATGAAAACCAGGAAAGAACAGTAAGACAGAAATAGACGAGACGCCAGTGTCACAAGTGGAAGATGAGAAAACATCATATTCTTCCCACTGTGCCTAGCTTCAAAGCTTTTTGTGCCTACACAACCAGCTTACAAATGAACTCTGTGCTTATCTCTTGATGACCAAACAAACACAAGCTAATTTGCAATTTGCAAAGCTGTGAAAGCAATCCTGGCAGAGAGGGAAAAAAACCAGACCTTAAAGAAACTCTGCTTCCAATGAAGAAAATAGCATTTTGTTTGTTTCTGCCCTGAGGGGAAGGTCTCTGCATTTCTCCGTTGACATATTATGGGCCCTTTGTTTCTCAATCTGTCATTCACCCTGCCACTACTATTTCCCTATTTTGATCTTGCACGCATACCACCAACATTTGCCCTGAAATAAATAAGTGAAACAAAATGTCCTGCCTTTATTTGAACAACAAATCCTGACCTTCCTCCCTTTACCAGATGTTAGGGAGAAAACCAGCCAGTGTTTTTCCCTCCACACATGCTTTCCTCTATTCAGATATCTATGAGTTTCTGCTTTAATTTTTAGGAGCTTAACAGAAATGGTGAAATTGCCAGTGCATTTTTATTGCAAGATGCCTTTCTACTCTGGGAAGCCAAGATCTTAACTATAATGCCACTTACATATTTTACTTCATTCAGACAACTGAATTCTTCATGATGAAACACTTCCCTTTTTTTAAAAAGAGAGAACTCATTACAATACTACATTATAACTGTATTCACTTTAGTAAAAGAACAAGGTGTATTTTCTCTAAGAGAATGTCAGCACTGATGAATTCTTGCCTATAGTCATTAACATCTACCATTCCTGCTTAGACCTTCCTTCACATACCTTGCAGTTTTTGCTTTTCCTGCTTATCATCACACTAAAAATTCTGGCTTCCTGCCCTGGCAACTGAGGGAAAAAGTTTTTTATAAAGATGTAATGACCAGATGGTTCTTGCAAGGAATGATCAGCCATTGGCCCCGTGCCTGCTCTTGGAAGGCCTCCATTTCCGAGATTCCAGTCAAAGTCGTCATTCTGATCTTGTTCCCACTGGCAAAGATCAAATTCAAAATCGCAGCGCCCAATAGACACACCTGAATGAGAAGAAAGGAAAAGAAACCCAGACAAAGCTGAATGTAGTTTCAAACGATAAAAGTACGCTAAATGCCTAAACTAGCATCATTATCATAAACATATTCTGCCTATATCCTCTAAATGGAAGAAAGCTTATTTAGTTAATCAAGGATGTTTAAAACAGAGAACTGGTGCACATCAAACAAAGACTGCTAACAATGACTTTAAGAGGGTTTTATTTTGTTCAATTTAGCCTCATTCTCCTATATTGGGCGTACACAACATGTGGCTTACAGACTGGATGTGGGCCCAAGGGCTAAATATGACCCTTCCAGTACCTCAATCCCAGTTATTTAATTGTGGGGGAAACAGAATAAAAAAGTTCCTTGTACTCTCTGTGGCCGTGTGTGTGTGTGATAATTCTTAGAAATGGGAATATTTATATTTGTAAATGAATACAAATATCCTCATTCCAGGTTCATCTGATGCAGCTCTGGCCCTTAGAACCGGCCTGTCCAATCACGCGCCACTGTGTTGCCAGCCTGCCACTCATCTCACCAATTGCAGAAGTAACTCTGCCATGTCCTGGGTCTGCTGGCCACTCCAGGCAGGGGGCGGGAGGACAAGTCTCCCTGCACAGCTGCTGAGTGGCTAGAAGAGTAGAGATACAGTGGGTCTACTTCCGCGATTGGAGAGATGAGTGGGAGGCTGACAGTGTAGCAGTGCATGATTGGATGGACTGGTTCCAAGGGTGAACCCGCATTAGGTGCATCTGGGATGGGGATATTCGTATTCATTTACGAATATGACTATCCCTGTCTCTAAAGTAACCCAGCACTCATGTGGTCCTCCTTCATACCTCCAGATTTATTTTTTTACACAGCCACTAGAAAGTACAAAGGGGTTTTATCAGTTAAAATCAAACAAATTCTTTATTCGTATCAACTGCACAGTTTAAAAATACGGATGTATATGAAATGTAGGTAAAAATTAAAAATAAATTAAAATGTAAAGCCATTAGACTATTGTTGACCTGAAGTAGACTACTTCAATAGTCTCAATAATTTGCTAAATGTTCCTTGTGGTGCGTCATAAATTGCATGCCTGTAAGTGTTTCATTGATTGAATTCCTCCTCAGTCACAGAATATTTGTCCTGCATCCAAGTAGCCCCATTTTACTTGGTTGTTCTTTGATCTTACTTTGCTTTGAATTGAGAAATGGGGATTGTGAGAGGAATCCAGTTGGCTAAGGTTCAAGAATGGGTATTGTGGCCCCCTGATGCGTGAAGATTGTCCACCTCTGTCCTAAATAGTAATGCAACTGCAATTGTCTGATGAACATTTATAAAAGGTAATATAAATGAACCCAAATAGGTATCTTTGATAGTTGTGGAGCTTCATTTCATAAAATCTAGGGGGGGAACCCAGATTACTCACTCTATTTGATTTTGAAGTTTAAAGCCTATTTTTAATATTTTCAGCAGACCTGTTGCAAAAACAAATCAATTCTAGTTGGCAAAAGCAAAATAAATTTTAAATCAGTTTTATTATCATATAAAAGTATATTACTTAAAGGAACAGGGCGCTCAAAGAGGTTAACTGTATGAATAACCAAAAAGATATAGCTTGTTTTATAGAACAAATACCTGTGAAATAAGGACTTTACCATGCTACATTGAAATCAAAGGAGAAAATGAAATGGGGTAAAAGACTGTTGAACTATTTATGTTCTTTTATATTCTAAGAATGTAAAAGAAGATACAATTTCCATCTTACAGCTGGGGAAATCTAATGTTATTCTGAAGTATTCCGTTAGCCGGCAAAATTAATGAGGGATGTGCTTTGGAGACTTGCAGATCCACGATTTTGGTTTCCCCATGTTTTAATGCAACAAAATTTTATTGACTTTTTTTTTAGCAAAGAAGTACCAAAACTTTTTTATGATGGGCTAATTCTTTTCCAATAATAGAAAAGCTGAAGTTAAACTTTAGCAGGAGAAGAGGATGCACCAGTTCACATGTGCCTACTAAATGACTTAGGGCCTTGTAAGTTTTTACTCAGCCAATTCTTTCCTGAGAAGACAGTGCCCAGGCCCTCCCGTCTCCATTATTGGTTTCTTCATCTAAAGAGCAACACATCTGCAGAGAGCTGGTTCCTGCTCATGTGTGCATTAGAAAAATCCCTGGAAAGCCATAGTTCCTGATCACATAGAGAACTTTGTTATATGTTGTAAATCGAAAATACACTATCTCTTTTTAAATTTTGTAAATCCAGCAGGACTTTATATTAAACGGATGGTTTTAGAGTTAATTGGTTGTTTTCAATGTGTGTGTAGTTTGTTTGCTGGGTAGGTGAGGCTCATCAGCCATGGAAGTCAGCCCATCTAGGAGAAGGAAAACTCTGATTTCAACCCGCCACTGCCTTGTGGCTATATCCACTCATGGAAAAGGCTTTAGGAGTTAACCTAGAGGCAAAATCTGGAGCTGGAGTCCCAAAGGCAGTTCATGTCGTTCTGCCAACTCCTGCGACATTGCTGGAACCAGTTGTATTGGCTCTTGCCTTTCCATTGGACCATTTCAGCAATGTGGAGAGGAAAGATCTGCTGCTTGGGTAACAGCCTATCCTTCATATTACTTTACTCAGGCTTCATGCTCTGGAGAGGATACTCCTCAATCCAGAGCATGTTACCATAGTCTCTTGAGACTGAAGGATGCCTATGTAGAGAGCTTACACATGAGTTGGAACCTCTTGTCTTGCTGAAGAGAACTGGCTAGGCAATAACAGAACAAGAGAGTGGCTTGTTTGTGTGAATATGCCATCAGCAGCTCCCCAATGCAATTGAAGAAAACTTTATTACAGGTAATCGTGCGATTACAGTGCTTTGGGGGAAAAGATGCGCTGGGGCCACACCAGGACCAACAGTCAACAAGGAGAAGCTGGCTTGAGGCCTGGGGATGGTCAAATTGGGGCTGGCCAGGTTCTCGCTGTCTTTAATACCACGAAAACTTGGGGCCAGGGACATGCCCATTCGTTACTTAAGGGGTCCTTTGAGACCTCAGTGCTGAAATCTGATTCTGCACTACGGCAGGGCCCCCCCCTTTGCCAAAGGATGGCAACATGTATTATGTTTAATAAAGTGTGGCCCGTGATTAACCCATAATTCTTGTCTCGTGTCTTCATTCCAGGGTTGGTAAGGCAAAGCTACATGACAACAAAGTTTTCAAAAGAAAGTACCAGGTATGCCAACCATTCACATTTTTAAAAATTCTTATTGCTTCTTCCTCAAAGACCAAAGATTGCTCTTTGCTTTCCTAAGTTAAAAAGAAAAAAAATCAGACCTTGAGTATACTTCAGAAGCTGAGCCACTAATTGTTGCTGTCCCCAGTTGCAATGATCATATCTGCCTTAAAACACAAATTCTGAGCTTCTGCATTCCAATGCTGATGATAACAAGAAAAACATCACAACTCAACTTAATCCACAGACTTTCAACACAGCTTGTCTTCTTTCAACACGAAGTTTTTAAAAGCACAGCCAAAATTTGCTATCAAGTACAGATATTTTCACTTGAATATAAAACATTCCTCCAGGAAATACTTCCTCTTAGCCATATATGTCTCTGGAGAATGGAATCACAGTGTCTGTAGGGCCACTCCAACTGTGTTTTGTTCTCAGATGAGCCTAGCCAAGCTTGTCACAGTTTGGTAGATTTGAAATAAAATCTTGGAAATGAAGTGAATGTAGACACCCAATTATGTAAAAAAAAAGGACCTGACTTCAATAATATATCATATTTTTAAAATAATTGCATTTTTGTCTCCTAAAGAACTTTTTTCCATGTATCAAGAGAGGCCATTGATTAACAAGTACTGAAAAAGTCTGCTCTGATAGTTCCTGCATTCATTTTGTAAATAAAAGATGTCATTCCATATGTCAAAGCACAAACATGGCTCTTGTACACATGATAGGACCAGATTTCTTATTTATGTATTTATTCAAGGGTGCCTTATAATTGTTGCAAGGATGGCTCCTTCCCCTTTGCTTGAATGGTCTTCCCAGGTAGAGGCGGAGGCTGCCAGTTGCTCGTGGTCTCCTAATCTAGGCAGTGACCAATGGGTATCTCCATTCGCCATTCCAGTTTCAAGAAAACACAGTTTTACTCTGACCATCCCAGAAGCCATGATCTTCTACAGACTGCTCAGTTAATTTCCAAGGCAAGAACTGTGTTCATTGGGTGCAAAAAGAAAAAGTCCTATCATACAATCTTCTGGCACCTTAAAAACTATTTAGTATATAAGCTTTCGTGGCCTATAAACCCAGGCTACAATCCACCAAGGTATTATAAGATTCTTTATCATACTTTATAAGCTTCTTTCCTTTTCATCTTAATTTGTGAATTGGCAAAGGGTTATGTTTTATTCTTTTCTTTACTTTGGCCGGTTTTATTTTTTAAAAATAAAAAAAATTAATATTATGACAGTTTCTATTACATTGGCATATGTTTATGGGATTCACTCCAAAATCTTTAAAAACGCATTGGCATCATTTTACTTTATTGGCAGATGTAAAACAGACAGAAAAACATCACACTGCAATTTCCTAAGTAAATAAATGCTGGACGATAGTATGAATACTCTCAATTTTCATTCTGGCCTGGAGACATCATTTTTGTCTCATATATTCATTTGTCACCTATGTCCTACGTGACTTTATTTTTTCCCCCCTTGCACTGGAGTGCTGAGAGTCCATCTGGGTTCTAGAGATACTACTTATTTTCAAGAAATTTCATCTTTTAAAGTTTGTTTTTAAAATGCATGAATCATAGCCCTCTGCTCATTTAAATTTTGGCCACTGGAGTGAACTGCATTTGTAAGGATGTGCAATTTAATTTTCCATCTCTCTTATGGTCAGATTTAAAGGACAATAAATACTTTATCAATTTGCTCCCACTCAGAATAAAGTTTTGGTAATATATAAACTCATTTCCTCTTTTTTATATTTTAAAATACGGTTGCCCTATCCATGAGGTAAATAGTGCTGTCATCCATGTGATATATAGCACTCCTGGAAAAACACAGCACTGAAGATAATATTTCTGACTCTAAACTTTGGTTGGCTTCGTATGTTATTCAAAAATACAGTATGTGTAAGAGAAGAGGGAATCCAGAAACGGGCAAGAGTTTGCATAGAGACAAATCAGCAACAGTGAGCAGAAAGGAGGCTTGTAGAATCTGAAATTTCCAGTACACGCTAATCTCCTGAAAATCAGAATGTAGTTAGTTATTCTTGTATTTAGATTTCTCCAAATCTTGCAATACAGCTCTCACACCTTGAAGGGAGATCTGAAAGGTCTTGTGGCTCCATGAGACCCTCTGAAGGATCATAGGAAGGACCACAGGACTTTAATTATGTATGGAAAGAATACTTATGAAATCCTTTATTGATGTTTCGACATATATATTATCCTGTTGTGCTGAAGCATACTCTGGGTGGTTTACAACACAAATATGTAAGGAACACTTTGTCCCCCAAGAAATTGGGTATCCATTTTGCCAACCTCAGAAAGCTGAATCAATCTCAAGCCAGCTACCTGAATCCATTTGGCTTAAATTCAGGTTGTGAGCAGAAGCTTGTCTGCAGTAATGCAATTTAACCACTGCACTTCAGGGCTTTTTGTTCTTGATTAAGTGTAACATTCCAATGACAAATGTTCACGTCCTGAAAGACTCCTCATCTTCAGGAAAGAGTGGGAGGAGTTTTGTTTTACTTGTTCAAGTCTCCCTCATTTAAACCAACTGTGCAAAACTAGTGTCACTTCTCTTTGAGAAGCAAAACACAGCCTTCAAGCACAGAGCAATGGATGACCATCGAAAGAGTCAAAAGCTCCAACTCCAATGCTTCTAATCCTTCAATAACTACATAAGAAAGTAACAACCATGATCATTTTGCCCAAGCTGCATTATTTGCATCAAAGTATTATTTGTGTTCAAGCCTTGCTTGTCCAATGTTTACACACCCATCTTTCTAATCCTCTTCTCTTGTCAAGTACCACAAAACACCATGCCCTGCCCTAGAGTGGATGATTTTGCAGTTCCTAGCCTGCAAGGACCAGACAAGTCAAGATTTACATCCCTACTTTTCACTTTTATTTCTAAGGAACTGGCAGCAGCAGTGCTGTATTACAGCACAAGAGTTACAACAGATGCTAATTAAAGGATGGAGCCATCACACTTACTGCAAATACTGTCACTCTCATCTGTGTTATCGGCACAGTCATTCACAAAATCACAAAGGTTCTCCTGTGGGATGCAGTATTGGTTGGCACAGGTAAATTCTTCAGAAGTGCAGGGTCTGTCCAGGATCAGCAGAGGAGAGCAGTCCTTAAATAAAATATCATCCACTGTTACATCTCCCACATAACTGATGCCTCTTTTTGCTCTAAAAAGAACCTGTGCAAAATAAAATATTGCAGTTAGTAGTGGTATTCTGATATAAAAGGAAACATCTATTAATAGATAATGTTGTAGTAACTCATGGTAAAGGGTTGGGCTGCTTCTGCCTTCAAAAAGCTTCTCATATGTTGCTGACAGAAAAGGAAGGATAGCCGTTTTTGCTGAATTTCCCCTCTACCTACAGCCACATAAAGCCTACGTTCCCACAGCAAGTCTGCTTTAGCTCACTGGTTCTTAACCTTGGGTTACTCAGGAGTTTTGGACTGCAACTCCCAGAAGCCTTCACCACCAACTGTGCTGGCTGGGGTTTCTGGGAGTTGCAGTTCAAAAACATCCGAGTAACAAAGGTTAAGAACCACTGCTTTAGCTAACTGGGGGGGACCTCCAGAATGGGGTCAGAAGCAGTGACTGGACCACAGAGGAAAGGCAGGTGAGTCAACAAAAATTACCATCCCTTCCACAATCAGGGGTACTCAAAAGACCAAACTCTAAATTATAGGTGGGCCATTAGCAGGAGACAGAATTCATCGTGCTCTGACAGAGGTTCCCTTCTGGATGCTTGGCATATGTTTCTTTCAAGCATGTATTTAAAACATTTAAATCTTTAGACAGGTAGGATCCCCATATTTACAGGGGAATATCCGAAGCCCCCTACCAGATGCTGAAAACACAGAAGACTATTATAATAGTGAGCCCTATGCATGGTATGGTCTCTGTCTCCCTCTCGTAGCCAATTCTGGTAACTTCATTGTTAAAATATTGGGATTTTTCTTTTAATATTTTCAGGTGGTGGATAAGTGAATCAGCAGATACTGATCCCATGGCTAAAGGGGTTCTACTGTACTACTATATAGTTAACTGTTTTTTAAACTTAGTAATTTATTGTGTCTTTAATCTAACTTGTTTTAATCATTCTGAGCTGCCTTGGGTCCCCTCACTGGGAGAAAGGCGGCCAAGAAATGAAAAAAAAAAGACAACTAAATAAATATGCAATTGAAAGCTGGAAAGACTTGTTGCAACAATTGTTCATGACTATGAAAAGAAATAAGCTTTGAAGTACAGTTGGCAAAGTATCTCTTTTTTTTCCAACAAGAGAGTGCTGCTAATGATGCAATGCCAAAAAGCATCAATGCTAACTTGTAATTTCAAGGTTAAGAAAGGAGAGTTGAAAAAGAATAATTTTTATGATATATGGGGCAAATTTTTGGAATATATGTTAGCAAGAGGAAAAGGGAAAGCTCCAAATCAAGAATCAAAGCAGTTCCGGAGAAGAGGACAATAAAAGAAGAAGAAGAAGAAAGACAGAGGAAGAAGAGGATTACTGCAAGAGGTCCTGACTATGGTGGTGGGGAACGCAGTCAATTTGTATTTTGGTTTATGTATTTTATGTTTATGTTTATGTTATATTCCCTTAAAAAGCACCAATGAAGCAGTAGATTTCTGAAACAGGCTCCCTTGGGGATATCATGTTCCTCTCTTCATTCTTTCTATTTATGCAATGTCAACAAATAATCTCCAGTCAACAGCAAGGACAGTATTTTAATTCCACTGCTTCAAGGTGCATCTTAAGGAGTGCATTGTGAAGCATGAAATAAGAATGTCAAGTAAGCCCACATATAAGTGAAAGACAGCAGAACATTGAACTTTACACACCTGAAAATAAGAGCGAACACCCAAAAATGCTTCAGCTTTGTTCCATTGCGGGCCTTGGGGACCACTCTGAGCCCAAAGTCTGGTTGTCGTGTTTTCCACTTTGCTCAGCACCTATGAGGCAAACACTTCCTGTGAATCTACACAGTTTTAATCGACAGCTCATGTTTTGCAAATCATAGTACAGTACAAATTTGTAAGTGCCCATTCTTATGGTAGTTTGAGTGATTGAGAATAGTACCTAAAGAGCAGAGTTTGGATATATATATTTGTTCTTTTTTGGACTACAGTTTGCAGAATCTACAGCGGCTATTGCTATCTGGGAGTTGTATTCTTTTAAAAAGGGTGTGGTGGTAGAATTTCCCAAGCTCTGGTAAAGGGATATGTGTGAAACACTCTTGTTGACAAAGATGGGTATGTAATGAAAAGAGAGGATCGTGACTTTAGTATAATAACCTTTCCGTTCTGACCACGCAAGTCAGCCTTGACCATTTCCATTTCAACAGCTTCAAATAACATCTGATGACACCAGCCAAGAAATCATTCTGGGGTACACCGAATAAATAAAATATCAATTGTAACCGACAGGACACTAAAATCTTGCTATATCTCCATGCTTCTTTTCAGATTTCAAAACTAATTTTAGTTTAGCAGCACATTAAACATCCTGTTGTTTGCCTAAAGAACTTTTCCAATCAAGTTCCAGAGCTTTTGTTTAGTTTGAGCTGCCAGAGGTGCAAGGAGCTGTTCTCCTAACATCTTGCCTCAGTAAATATTCATTGAATTGTGACGGGTCCTTCCCAGGAGTCAGCTATTCTAAATATGCTTCACTGAAACTAAAGTGTCTGAACTGGGCCAAACTGACAACAGTGGGAGATGGAAGGATGGTGATGTATGTTAAATCCTGCTTCTCGACAGAACTGACAGAACTATACATCACCAGCACCCAGAAATGCTTTTCTGTCCCTGGATTTATCACCAACCAAAATAATACACAATCTTAGCTCTGGAACAATCTAAGCTTTTTTCATTTTAATGGAAGACAAAGCACTGGGCTATCATCTCCTGGCTGCATCTGACATGGCAAAATTATACAGTACAGTATAACAATTCTCTTTGAATGGAGGAGTTTGCATTTTATGGCAGAAGAGTCTCATTTATTAAGAAACAAACTGACAGAAGACATGCTGAAGTTGTCTGGAAAACAGTCAGAGGTGGGAGTGCATTGTACATAATGCAGCACAGACGCTACATAAAATATGCAGTAATAATGTAGAAGGAAGCCTTTAGCTTGCAAGAGACTATTAATGACAAAGCTTTCTGAGTCATTAATTCATACAATGGAATGCACATAACAACCATCACCAGAAATATTTGTAGTGAAATTCAGTTCTTGTTCTTAAAGGGTGGATACATTTGTGGCCTAGGCATGCAGGGTGTCTCACCCCCAAATGGTCACAGAAGCTACATCCAGCTCAGTTCAGAAGCTGCCCATTTCCATTACATCTTCACTGCTTAGACAGTTCCTCTTCAAAAATAAAAATAAAAATATTTTTAAAAAGCAACTACTGTTATGGTTCAAATGTTTTAGTTACAATTATAGTTATATTTTTCTCAACAGCTCTTTGGTTTCTCTCTCTCTCTCTCTTTTTTAAAGTAACTAGACTGATAATTTTTGTTACTTTTTTTTAAAAAATCATAGATTGGCAAATTGCTGAGCCATGGTACAAAACACACCTATGCTACATAGCTTTATCTGTAAAAGTAAATAAAACATTACAGTTCTATCAGAAAAGAAGTGAGGTTACCCTTCATCACATTGCATTTATAATGTAATTGAATTATGCCTTAATTATTGCAAAAAAAGGGATATTAATTGCAAATCATTTGTAATTTGAGTGTCTTGCTAAAACATCTATATCTGCTAACAAATGGTAGGAGTGGCAGCTGCAAACGGTTACGCTGACTTGGTATGGACTATCAAAAGCACATTTGCTTCTCCGTGTTCCACAACTACAGTAAAGGTGTGGGCCAAGAACGCTTTAGTTAAGAATACTTTTCTACTTCCAAATTAAGAAAGCATGATTAGCAGAATTAAAACATTATTATCTTAATGTTTAATACATCAATATCTAAAAATTAAAACTCTGGTTTTGGTATCTTGACTTGTACTGAAGTGAATTAGGTATCTGTCTGAGGAGCCAGAAGTTGGGAGTTCAATTCCCCACTGTGCCTCCAGGGTGAAGAGCCAGCCTGTGTGGCCTTGGCAAACTGCACAATCACTGTACAATCCCATGGTGTCCCCAGAAGGGAACAATAAACCACTTCTGTCTATGTGCTACCTAGAAAACCCAGGAAAGGGTCACCATAACTTGGAATCAACTTGACAGCACACAATGATTGTTATTACTACTGAAGCTGCTAACCATACTTGTCAGCTTCAAATTACCCTGGAAACTCTCCTCCCATATTGGCTAGGTAATTTCTGGGATTTATAAGATCTTCCTTAAACACACATACACACCCCAACAACTTTTCCAAACTCTGTTTCAGACTAGTTTTTCAACATGCTGTCATTTGCTAAATTCATTGCATTTTACAGGTGCTTCAGGCATTATCATCCTCCATTTGTGACTCTTTTTCCCTCCCTCAATGCCTTTTCTCTTTTTGCTTTCTATGGAAAATTTATAAAGAAGGGAAAGATGGGATAAATACACAGTCCCTCCTAATTAGCTGTGTGAGGAACCTTAAATGTTCTGTGGTTAACTTCCAGTTTTAATAATGCCTTGTGGGACATGGTGGTGCTGGGGGTTAAACCGCAGAAGCCTCTGTGCTGCAAGGTTAGAAGACCAGCAGTTGTAAGATTGAATCCATGGAATGGAATGAGCTCCCGTCACTTGTCCCAGCTCCTGCCAACCTAGCAGTTCGAAAGCATGTAAAAATGGAAGTAGATAAATAGGTACCACCTCGGTGGAAAGTAACAGTGTTCTGTGTCTAGTCGTGCTGGCCATGTGACCACGGAAACTGTCTATGGACAAACACTGGCTCTATGGCTTGGAGATGGGAATGAGCACCGTGCCCTAGAGTCAGACACGACTGGGCTAAATGTCAAGGGGAACCTTTACTTTTACCTTAATAATGCCTTGGGCAAAGGAAGGAGCAGAGAAGCTCCACATTCAAGCAGAAAGCTTGTGCATGTCTTAGTTTAATAAGCCAAGATACAACCATCTGAATTAGTTATAAATTAGTTCCAGCCATACCCACAGAGAATTCAGCCCGAGTGCTACAGTTTTGTGTGTGTAGATGCATCTCTAAAAACAGATTACATCATGTTCACCTTTTCTCAAACATATTCAAGACAGCTCTCTTGTCATCATGTTTTCTTCCAGCACAATCTCATGGTGCATTTTAATTTCTTTTCAGCAATAATATAAACCATTCTTTGATGAAAGTACTTGGTTTTATATTGATCTGTTTTAAATCCTAGAATTTCATCTCGACCAAATTTCAGATCACAGCCACAAGCTATAAAAACTGTTTTCCTTCCAGGCCGTGAAACATAGCTGTCAAAATGTCTTCAGTGTTTCAGTATTAATATGTGCACATCGTTTCTGTTCAAAGCTCAGTTTTTGAAAAGCTAAATAATCATTCTCATAATATTAGTTACTGATTTAGATTTGTTCGAAGGAATATTAATAGTCACGGATTTCCGACAATGTCGTAAACATGCAAATAAATATTCTGTGTTTGAAATTAGATGCATTTGAATTGAGTAGATAAGGACTGAATACCAACTTTCCCATTTATATTTGACAGAAATAAATATATGGAATAACGTAAGAGAAACTGCCTACTGGTGATAAAAATAAAAGGGGGGAGGCCAATATTTTGAGGTGTGAAAGGCTCCTTCCTTGCTGACATTCAGGAAATTAGCCAGGAGAGAACTATACAGGGCTGCCTTCAGTAATCTATCTCTGATGCTCTTGATATTAATTTTTCTTTTTCTTTTTTATCTTGTGCTTTCTTTTTTATTTCAGTTTTAGATCTAGGTAGTTGAACTGTCATATTTATGTATCACAATTGGGGTCATGTGGGGTTCTGAGTTTTTAATTTGTAAACCATCAAGAGTAGTATATCCACTAGAGGGGCAGTATATAAATAA